TTCCGACTTTGCTATGACAATCTGGCGCTTCTGAATCAGCGACTGTAAGTATGTTTTGTTATTAGTTTAAGTATTTGCTATTGACTGTTCAAATGCGGAGTTTTGCGCAGCGCCGAGTAACGCGTCGTGTGTGTGTGTGTGTGAGGGGAACAGGGTCACATCACAGGAGAGTGAACTGCCTGTCAGAAATCATAACACGTTAACTGTCTTAACCGCGGCTTGTGTACTGCATCATCACTGTGTCTTTCATGCGACTCTGTTGGCCTTTCGGGCTTGAACTGATGGTAAAACTAACGACATTATTAACGAGAACTGTCTTGATATTTACTTTGAAAGCTGAACCTGCAATTATGGTAAGGGGCGTTACATTTCCGACACATGCTTGTGGTGTTCGGCCAATCACAATGCACTGGGTCAGCTGGCCAATCAGAGCAGACTGCGCTTGTCAAAGGAGGGGGCTTTGCTGAAAAGACGCGTTTTGAGAGAGGCGGGGCATAGAGGTCTGTAACACCAGGGCTGCCCAAACTCGGTCCTGGAGGGCCGGTGTCCTGAAGAGTTTAGCTCCAACCCCAATTAAACACACCTGAACCAGCTAATCAAGCTCTTACTGCATACTAGGAACTTAAAGGCAGGTGTGTTGAGGCAAGTTGGAGCTAAACTCTGCAGGACACCGGCCCTCCAGGACCGAGTTTGGGCAGCCCTGTGTTACACCAAATACACAAAATAATGATCTTTAAAATAGCATCATATGACCCCTTTAAAAAAAATGAGAATAAAAAAACATTTATTTAATTAGTAAAAAAAAATATATTTATTTTACTGGAAAATCGAAAATAATATGCATTACCGCATGGTTTTGTAATATATAAAATGTTGTTGGGATAAATTTCCTGCAAAAATAACTTAAGTTACTAAGATATAAAATGACTTCTTAAGTCCCACCCCTTTTACATTCCTGTGTCCATACCTTCTCTGCATTCATCTAATTCTCCTTTTTCTCTCTTTCTTAAGCATCTGTGGGCGCCCACTACGTCCCGACGGTGTGCAACGGCAGAGAGATTGTCGACTCCACCACTTCCTCTCTGTGACCCCGCCCCTTCCTCCAGACTCCTGCTCCTTAGCGACTGTTAGCCAATCAGCACACATTGTGCTATGCCCAAGAACTAGGTCCTACAGTGCGTAGAAAGTGTGTATGATTATTATGATTATTAAATTATTTTTAGGGCTTGTTGTAAATATAGACAGTCTGACACTGTTGTAGAGAAACAAAAGAACAAAAAAATCCTTTATAGAGAGATTTTGGAAACTTTTGTTTTGATAGCTTTATGTATGTCGTAAACTGCCATGATGTGATGATGTAAAACACAGACCCGTTTTTGATTGGGCCACAGTAGAGACTGACAGAAACGGCTCCGCCTGCAATACTGGACACTGGAATTTGTGGTCGTTTTCTTTTGTAGGCCTCATTGTAATAACCTAACTGTATGTATTTCTTGTTGTACATTTTGTACAGAATCTTAACCGATGGTTTTATCAGCACAAATCGACGGTATTAGAGTCTACGCTGGTCATGAGGTCCAGAACAGAAACCATCGAGTAAGCGCTCGCGCCTCAAAATTCACGTCGTCTCATCACAGGCAGTGGCTTGACGCCAGAGGTTACAACACCATTTTTGTACACTGTCATGACATCTGAAAGCATATTACATTAACTGCATCTCATAAGCGTTGTATTCAGATTGGCTGTGATGCATGTTTATGTTGCAGCACAGATATGCAGTGCTACGAGACATTATATGTTTACATTGCCTGTGACGAGAAGCCTTCAGGGACAGAAATTCTGGAAGATGAGCATGTGAGGCACTTTACAAAATTGACTTACCTCTTTTTCACCGTCATGGTGCCGTTGCTGGTGCCGTCCCACACTTGTCGACTGGATAAAAGGTGATTTGCCAGAAAAAAAAACGGGTCCACACCTGCCCCTTAAACCTGCATGTGACAAAGCAAGAAAGAGTATTGTCAGAGGTCAAATAATAGGATAATATCCTCACCAAATATACTTTTAAAACATTAATCAGAATTAGAGGTCTATCCCAACTCTGGCACCGACACCATTTCAGTGGAAAACTGGTGATAATCGGTTAGGTTTCTGATGTGTGAAATGCTTTGTGATGCAGTGAATGTAAAATGTATCCTGTTGTTCGATATCGGCTTGTTGTGCCTTATCATTTGTCCTATAGTTTTAATACGAGAGGTTCCTCAGAGCCTTTGGGCAGGAGGGGGCCAGGCCATTTTTTTACAGACGTCTTTTTTTACATTTCAAAAGTTTTATACATTTCTATGTTTTTCTGTTGGTTCGTTTGGAAGAGAGTGGGACACTCTGGTTCTTCGACAAGCTGAAGATTGAGGATAGCTAAAATGTTAAAAGTTTGAATGTTTGCTTGTTTTTAGCTTGCGGACAACGCACGGCCCCGAGGGATTCTGTACAATATCACGTTACCTAATGCAAGTGTCAAAACTGTATCAGTCATTGTAGGATCATCCATTCTTAGCTCGTCATGAAGAGACATAGGAAACAAACATGTAACAGTAACCTAGAAATGCTAAAGCTCTCAACATTCATAATTCATCAGCATGGCAGCAAAGGAAATCATTTGTGCATCAGTTAACAGTACCAGGAGGTGAACATGCACAGCATGAATGAGAAAATCAGATGACAGAAAAACATAACCAATCAATAACAGATTTAGTCTTCCAATGGAGACGGACTTGCTCACAGAAACACAAGATGTAGTGCAATGTAGTGCAACTATTACACACACACATACAATCAATATGTAGCCGAGTCCATATATACCATATGCTTCCTCAGTTTTTCCCTTTTCCCCCTCTAATTAGTCATTACTACTGGTGAAGAACAGGGTTACGAATTTCAACAAATCCATAACTCTAAGTAAATATCGTTAGGTAACTCAAATCTACAATTTGTGCCTTTCAAATGATTAAAAGTTCTAAAAATTCATTGGACTAACATTGATTCAAGCCATACTATTTCAGAACACCCTAGCAACTGCATAACAACATGCTAAAACCATTTAGAACATGTTAAGAACTGCATAGCAATGCCCTGGAAACCACCCACAACACCTTAGCACCTGCATAGTAATATGGTAAAAACGACTATGAGCACTTTAGCAAATGCAAAAACCACCCACAATACCTTAGCACATGCATAGTAACATACTAAAAATTACTCAAAACACCCTAGCAACTGCATAGGAACATTTTAAAATACACCTTAGAAACTGCACAGTAACATTCTAAAAACCACCCAGAACAAAACTGCATAGCAACGCCCTGTAAACCAACCACATCCTAGCAACAGCAACATTCTAAAATATTTATTAACATTTTAAAACCACTCAGAACATCATAGCAGTTGCATAGCAACACCCTGGAAACCACCCACAACATCCTAGCAACAGCACTGAAACATTCTAAAAACCACCTAAACATATTTGCAGCTGCATAGCAACACCCTGGAAACCAGACACATCCTAGCCACAGCACTGTAACATTCTAAAAACCACCCAGAACATTTTCGCAACTGCATAGCAACACCCTGGAAACCACCCACAACATCCTAGCAACAGCACTGTAACATTCTAAAAACCACCCAGAACATCTTCACAACTACATAGCAACACCCTGGAAACCTCCCACAACACCCTAACGACAACACAGTAACATTCTAAAAACCCCCCAGAACATTTTCGCAGCTGCATAGCAACACGCTGGAAACCAGACACATCCTAGCCACAGCACTGTACATTCTAAAAACCACCTAAACATCTTTGCAGCTGCATAGCAACACGCTGGAAACCAGACACATCCTAGCCACAGCACTGTACATTCTAAAAACCACCTAAACATCTTTGCAGCTGCATAGCAACACGCTGGAAACCAGACACATCCTAGCAACAGCACTGTAACATTCTAAAAACCACCTAAACATCTTTGCAGCTGCATAGCAACACGCTGGAAACCAGACACATCCTAGCAACAGCACTGTAACATTCTATAAACCACTCAGAACATCTTCACAACTGCATAGCAACACCCTGGAAACCTCCCACAACACCCTAACAACAGCACTGTAACATTCTAAAAACCACCCAGAACATCTTCACAACTACATAGCAACACCCTGGAAACCTCCCACAACAACCTAACAACAGCACTGTAACATTCTAAAAACCACCCAGAACATTTTCGCAACTGCATAGCAACACCCTGGAAACCTCCCACAACACCCTAACGACAACACAGTAACATTCTAAAAACCACCCAGAACATTTTCGCAACTGCATAGCAACACCCTGGAAACCACCCACAACATCTTAGCAACAGCACAGTAACATTCTAAAAACCACCCTGGACGTCATCACAAGTGCATAGCAACACCCTGGAAACCAGTACTGTGGCGGTCACTTTGACATTGGCAATATCAATAAATCTTTACATTATTTTGCTCTTTGTGTAAATTAACAATGAAAGAACTACAAAACAAAGGGCAACGTAAGGACAGCAGATACAGGCCACATTTGAAACAAAGAAAATTAGTAAGTCAGTGAGTGTAGAGAGATAAACAGCGTGCGGTTATGTAAAGCAGTTCACTGCCCCATAAACTCCAGCACCACTCAGCAACTCAATGCTTTTGTGGTGAGGCTTGCAGTACAACACCCTCCCAAAATCTGCACACATCCTCTTTCTGCACGTTAAGTTGCTAGGGGTCCTCGTTCCAGCCTTAGCCTCTTTATGAATGTCTTTGAGAGAAGAAAAAGTCAAATGTGGCGGTTTCATCTGAGTGGCTTAGAAACGGTTTAGGAGGGAGCCAAGACTGCAGTCTGCGCAGAAACACAAATGGAGAGCGAGCCTCCCTCACCCACTGCAGCCATTCCATTTCAGAGTGGGGATCGAGGGTCTTACTGCAAAAGCAGTCGGCTATGTCTAAACTGTGTGGGAAAGTTTAAAGCAAACTTTCATAGATCTGATCATGTTTGTCATAAATCTTCACACCATGGAAGAATATGGATATGAGCCCTGTTTGGAGTCCTCAATATGGTTAGGTTCATAAACAGTTTGGTTTTGGAAGAATGTGACAACTGTCCGTATCCAATAACCAAAGTGACTACTTCACACTTACAGGTATCACATCTGAATTCAACATAGAGTTGATGTGTGAGCAGAACTACAGACATTAAATAGCGGAGTATGTATCATGTAGGCAGAGAGCAAGATAGAAATCCTGTTAAAGGAACTGTTCACCCAAAAAATGAAAATTTGCTGAACATTTACTCCTCGGGCCATCCAAGAAGTAGATCAGTTTGTTTCTTCATAGGAACAGATTTGGGGAAATTGTAGCATTACACTATCACTTGCTCACCAACGGATCCTCTGCTCTGAATGGGTGCCGTCAGAATGAGAGTCCAAACAGCTGATAAAAACATCACAAGAATCCACAAGTAATCCACACAACCCCAGTCTATCAATTAATATCTTGTGAATCGAAAGTTGCTTGTTTGTAAGAAATAAATAGATCATTGAAGTGTTTTTATCTTCAGACTGCTGCTTTTGGCCAAAATATCAGTCCATATTCCATAATGAAGGACAACAGGGGATGGACTTTCCTTTACTGGAGAAGGCATTATTATGATAGACATAATGATGGATTTGTTTCTTACAAACACACGCAGCTTTTTCCTTCATAAGATGTTAAATGATGGACTGGAATCATGTGGATTACTTGAAGATTATTGTAATATGTTTATTAGCTGTTTGGACTCTTATTCTGACGGCACCCATTCACTGCAGAGGATCCATTGGTGGGCAAGTGATGTAATTCTAAAGTTCTCAATCTCTGGTCTGATGAAGAAACAAACTCATATACATCTTGGATGACCTGAGGGTGAGTAGATTTTCAGTACATTTTCATTTTTGGGTGAACACTTTCTAAGTGTCTGGGCAGACGAGGTAATTGGGGGAAAAATAGATTTTTGGCTCAGTATCTACAGTAAAGGCAGCAGGAATTGCCAAATATGGTTTAGATGCATCCGACTAAATCAAAATAATCTAAAGTCTTGATGTTTACTGTGGTTATCCATCACTTATGGTTACAGGCACGACTCAAGACCAGGCCTGAACAGAATCTGCAGACCTTTCCCAACATTTTCTGTGCTTTTCTGGAAAGAAAAATCTGCAAAAAAGTCTGATAAACAGAGCTGAGATGATCAACTTAGCCAACAGACGTAATAAATATGACTTAGGTAGGTTCCAATATTGTAAAAATCAATTAAACTGATTCTGTGCAGGCCTACAAAAAAAAAAGTTGTATGTACAGGACAATTTAGTGTCACATCTGTTAGTAAATACAGAACAGTTGTCAATCCCAAATACTGAATGTGTGACTGGACACTCTTTCTTAGTCCGTTTTTCTGAAACAGCATGTTCGTTGGATGTACCAAGAACAATATGGGGTGATTTCAAATTTGTATGCAAGGCTTAACCAGACTAAAAACCCTCCTTCAGATCTGTAAAAGAGTTACAAACGTGCGGGACGTGTACTTTGGGAAGGCACTGAGCTTTTCGGTTTGAACACAAAGCAATAGAACAGTGCCCATGGTGCAGTGTGCAATAAAAAGGACATTATGACATCATAATAAACAAACTAAATGATGAATTGTATGTTTCATTCCTCATGTAGAGGTTGTGGGATAACAGTGAATCATTATCATACACAAACACAAAAACACCTACCTCCTCAAGACTTTCTGTCAATGTGACTGTGATGGATTCAGATGTCTCACAAAGACGAGTCAGGTTAGCTTTTCCTCACCAAAAAAAAAGAAAAAAAACTTCCCCGGGTGTTCTCTCTTCCACTAAATTATTCTGCTGACATCCAATCAGCTGGCTTCTGCCTTTCTAAAGAGGACGAAGCAGCAGAGATTATGAGCGGGGAAAATGGAAGGCAATTTTTTGCCAGGGATTTTCTGGCCAGAATAATACATCGGAAGTGCTGAAGCCTTTGAAAACTCTTCCTTTTATCAGCCACACGAGTTCGACTGAGGAGAGAGAGCGCACAGATGAGAGAAAGCAAGAGAGAACGGCATAAATGAGAGAGTTAAAGTGATGGCTGAGGGATAGAGATAGTCAAGGAGTTTTTTTGGGGGGGTGAATTGTGCACATCACACTTCCTTCGTCCTCTGTGGAATTCTAATGGCTGTGGCACTGAGTCGAGGCTTTTATGGGAGATATCAGAACCGCTGCACTTCTCCAGGTTAGACACGACCTCCTCCACCTACAACCACAAGATTGCTGAAGCCCCGAGAGAGGAGGCACAGGAATGAGTGAGAGTCAGAATAAAAAACAGTGAGATGTGACATTTAGAAAGAGTGAGAGAACTAATGAGGACAGCTACGTAGAAAGCTTTTGCTACACCACTGCAGCCTTACTTAAAGCGATACTTCACCCAAAAGGGACAATTCTGTGATCATCTACTCCGTTTCCACCCAAAGTTGGGATAATTTATGCGCAAAATTGGAATATCGCATAAACATTTGCGAATTAGCACCGTTTCCATCCAATGAGTCAAAGAGAACAAAATCGTCAGTTCTGTGGAACACAAAGACTTTTTTTAAGAATCTTCACTCAGCTTCTATTCATATTGAGCTTGGTGTGAGAAAAAGATTTAATATAAACATAAAATGTCAAGTGATGTCAAGCTGCGATGCATCTAACACCACCATATTTGTTGTTGTTTTTTTGGAAAAATTATTTCATAAATAATTACTTAAATAACATGGCATCTGACTGAAAATAAGTTTGAGTAGAAATACTAAAACTAAATTAAAGCTAAATAGAAATATTTAAAAACAAAAATACTTTAAAAACATGACAAAATTGCTTATTTGCATGTAAAAAGACTATTTTTAAATATTTATATAACAGTATCTAAATAATACTAAAATAACACTTTCACTTAAAGGTTATGAAAAAAAACTCACCAAAATCATCAGATGATGTCATCAAAAACCTTTTTACTGAAATACACCATATTGGTTGGTTTATGAAGTTCTTCAGTTTTACACATTTGAGAGTGCAAACAATCATTTATTATACACAATATCAAAAACAAATTAGGCTATATCAAGAACTGACATCAGTTGGACACAGTTACAGGTTCATTTCACTGTAAACACACACACACACACAATTAATTACTCATAAATAATATTGCCTACAGCATATCTAACGCTTCAGAGCAGTAGTGGACCAAACAAAACAACTAAATCCCAGCAGGACAGTAAACTGTAGGTTTATACCTCAATCCAGAATCAATATGGTTCTCAGCAGATCATTTCCCCAGATTTCATGTCGATGCGTCTTAAAATTTCATGAATAAAACCCCAGCGGCAGTTCATTAAGTTCCTTAATTAGACTGCACATGTTTCACCACCTCAGTCTGCAGTCACTGTTCTGCAGGAATACTTTCCCCATGAAATCCCCTGTGTTTGTCTTGGTACTGTAAGCCAGAATGACACAGAGGTATGTCGAAAAATCATAAAAATAGCTGTACAGAAATGGCGCCTGCTTTGCTGTAATCTCTTTATTCATGTCATATTTCATTTGGAATGTCACCGTCATAGTCAAATAGGTTACTTAACTAAAAAAAACACACAGCCTATTTTGGCTGCACTTGAACACAGCACACTTTACATGGCTTTCCAGTGCTGTTTAGCTGGGATTGGAAGTGTCTGTCAGTAAAGCTTAAAGTCTGAGTGTATTTGTGTGTTCACTCTGACCCTTGGCTACATTCGCTCTGACAAGCAAGGACTCGTGTAAAGTCACGGCTGTCGCTCCAAAAAGCTTCTGGAGAAACCCAGGCATTGCAGAGGAAGGGAATTTCCATGCATTTACAAATGGAAAACACACACATACACAACTGCATAGTGACAAATCAAGAGAGAAATATTCATATAAGCAAATCCATCCATGTACCTGCAGGCTTTTTTAACCCATATTCCTTTCCTTCGGGACACTTGTGCCCTTGTTTTCTTAAGGCCACTGCATGTGATATCGAACAGAAAGGGACTTCCATTCTTCCCTTTCCTTTTCCGTATCCCTCTTTGCTCTTCTTCTATCCCCACACAGACTTCTCTGTATTGGAGAATTGCAGTTGGACGGCTTCACCGCTCTTCTTGTTGCCCTAGAAACAGGAACACGGTTTTGAAAACGCAGGTGAATTGGGAACAAATCACTGAACGCGGGCGCGACAAATGTTCACAAACAGAGTGCAGAATCGGCCTCTTCGTCAAGGTCGCCTCCCTTTGAAAAGCCTACCCTGCGAAGGCCAAGGACTGTCCGCAGACACCGCGCGTTACCAGGACAACCAGCGTGCAAATCAAACAGCAAGTTGCGGTAAGCTAGGTCTGTTAAACAGAAAGACAAATGACCTGCAACTGCCTCTGTATGGCACAGATTTCTGGAACGCTAAGGAAACGCTGTTATATTCACACACAAGTTTGGTTATGAAATCTAGTTGCCTACATAGACCGTTTTTAATGCATCGCTGACATGCTCCCTACGCAAAAGCTGTTCAAAAAGGTAGCCAACAACAATATCCTGCATTTTAAGAACTCTTTTTGGCAAAATGTAAGGCAGCATCACATACATCCGCTGTAAAAGAAAACAAGTACGACAAGCACAGTGAAAAATCCATCCAAAATGGCAGATCCATTGAGCTGAGAGAAATGTTGGCTAAAATGTACATATTGCATTCAATAATGAAAGGCTTCTATTCAAAGTTAAAATTGCACTATTTTACCCAATATTTGTGTTATTTCTTATTAGCTCAATATTTTGTGCCATTAGATTTGCAACATACTAAATTCCTCACAAGTAGGAGTCAATGTAATATCAAAATAGAGCCTATTTACTATGAATACTATGAATGTTCCTGGTCTTATTGTGAAAGATTCTTGCATACATTTTTACAAATGAAAACATTTTTGCTCATCCAGAACGCTGCTGCCAGAATTCTGACTAGAACCAGAAAATCTGAGCATATTACACCAGTCCTCAGGTCCTTACACTGGATTCCAGTTATATTTAGGATTGATTTTAAAGTACTTTTACTCGTTTATAAATCACTCAATGGCCTAGGACCTAAATATATAGCAGATATGCTCACTGAATATAAACCTAACAGACCACTCAGATCATTAGGATCGAGTCAGTTAGAAATACCAAGGGTTCACACAAAACAAGGGGAATGTGCTTTTAGTTATTATGCCACCCGCAGTTGGAATCAGCTTCCAGAAGAGATCAGATGTGCTAAAACATTAGTCACATTTAAATGCAGACTCAAAACTCATCTGTTTAGCTGTGCATTTATTGAATGAGCACTGTGCGATGTCCGAACTGATTGCACTATATTATATGTATAATCGTTTTCTTAAATTCATTTTAAACCTCTTAAATCAAATTTTTTTTTTTATAATTTTCAAAGTTTTTAAATTCCTTGTTTTATTGTTGTGATTATTGTTTTTATTTTATTTTATGTAAAGCACTTTGAATTACCATTGTGTATGAAATGTGCTATACAAATAAACTTGCCTTGCCTTGGAACAATTTCACTACAAAGTATATAACTTTTTTTATGTAGAAAACAAAAAACAAATAATCATTAAAAAACAAAATCTTTAACCCTCAAAGACCCAAGCATTGATATTTAGGATGTTTTTTTTTAATGGTTTGGCAAAATATAGCATGTATAATATATTCCAACCTGTAAAAATAGAGTCATGAATATTCATATGACAGCATTTTTAAATAAAATTATTGAAATTAAAAAATGTATTAAATTTATTAAATAATTACTACTAATTAGTATTAGCACAATAAGTGTATATATGATATGATATGATATATGATATATGAAACAACTCTTAGAAAACAGCAGAAACATGGTACAAAAATATATTTTTGTACCATTCATTCAATACACTCCACTGTCTGACAACAGCAACAACAAAACAAAATGTAACTCTTAATGCCCGGGGGCCCGTTCTTCTTATGTCGCTTATTATATCCGAGATGAAATGTCACATCCAAGATGATATCATCGCACTAATCAGGATCTGGCTAATTCGGTTCTTCGAACGCACCTGTTGTTGATGATTAGTATGGCTGGATTGAGTTATCTGAGATAATTGCGCGTTCATGTGTTGGTTTAAAAGGGGCTATGTATCGATACTCGAAACCACGATCAGCAGTGCAGCGATTGGCTGGCGGCAAGACAGCAGCGTAATGACATCATCTAATTAAAAAAGACACCTGACGAAAAACTTGACTTCCTTTTATAAGGAAACAGCCAAGCGAACAAAAGTACATAAATGTTCTAATAGATAAATAAAATGTGCACAGTTTTTATTTTATTTTAATTTCTTACATGATTCCCAATTATTTATATTCACGATTTCTAATATGTGTACAGGCTTTACATTTTTATTTCAATTTAGTAATTAGCAATTCATTTAATTTTATATTTGAACAGATTTGTTACGTGACAGCATTAATTAAAGTTTCTTAAGGGTCGAGATCATGTTATCAGCATCTCCTGAACTCCATCAAGCCACTCCCATAATATCTGCCACCACTCAAATTAACGCACGACTCTACATTATCTGTATAGCATGCGTGTAAGACTCGAATACAATTATGAAGTAATAATTTTATGACTAATAAATCTTTCAGTGAGTAAAACTGGCTGTGTCTATAGTATTAATAAAGACTACACAACATTATTATATTATCTTTAAATTAATTTTTTTAATGATTATTATTTTAAAATATTGTCCCTTGATTAGTAGGATACTCTTGTAACAAAGTAACAGTGGCTGGGACAGATTTTAAGTATCAATTCTGCTTAAAAAGATGCAATCTAATCCTGTTTACATGAAATAAGCCTGCTCCCGAGCAGGTTTAAGCTTACGGACCTGTTGCTATGACAGCAACTCCGGGATGAGCTTCGAAGAACCAAACAATCCAAGATCACGCCAAATCATCAACAATCAAATCCAGCTAACTGAGTTAGCGACGTACGAAGAACGGGCCCCAGCACTGCATTTTTGCTAAAATGGTCTCAAATTTATGTACTACCACATGCAAAACTTCTCATCACTAGACACACAGAAATACAATTTTAACAATACTTACTTCTTAAATAGATATATTTGTTTCACAATTCCATTTTGTGTGACTGATAATATGCAATTTTGGTAACACTTTACAATAAGGTCTCATTTCTTAACGTTAGTTAATGCATTATGAACAATATATTTTTACAGCATTTTTTTTTTAAATAAATGTATTAGTAAGTTTTGTAATTAATATTAACTAAGATTAATAAATGCTATATAAATAGTGTTCATGTTAACTAATATAGTTTATATAATATAGAAACCTTATTGTAAAGTGTTACCGCAATTTTTCGTCCACCAAAACTGTTGTTGTGATAAAGTGTCAACTACTTTCATGCGTAGTTTTTAACCCATATTTAGCAAAAGTATTATTTGTGACCCTGGACCACAAAACCTTGACTCTTAAGTGTCAATTTTTCGAAATTGAGATTTATACATCAATGGAAAACTTATTATTCAGCTTTCATATGATGTATGGTTTGTTAGGATAGAACAATATGTGGCCGATATACAACTATTTGAAAAATAGTGCAAAAAAAATCTAAATACTGAGAAAATCATCTTTAAAGTTATCCAAATTAAGTTCTTAGCAATTCATATTACTAATCAAAAATGAAGTTTTGAAATATTTATGGTAGGAAATTTACAAAATATCTTAATGGAACGTGATCTTTACTTAATATCCTAATGATTTTTGGCATAAAAGAAAATTCGATAATTATGACCCGTACAATGTATTTTTGGCTATTGCTACAAACATACTCGTGCAACTTAAGACTGGTTTTGTGGTCCAGGGTCACATTTGATCATTTAAATACAAAGGTTGCAATTGTTCTGCGCTGATTCCCTGAGGGTTAAAAAAAACAAGCTAGTTTAAGCTGGTCTTCCCCCCTGGCCAAGCTGGTGTTTTTAGCTGATTTGCCTTCTGAAAAGTGCCCAAAAACCCCTCTAAAACCAGGCTGAGAGACCAGCTAATACAGTTTTTGCTCGTTTAGCAGAGTTTATTTAGGCAGAACCAGTCACCAGGAACATGATTGATTAATTCCTCTCGATTTGGACAGATTATTCTCTTAATTAACTTCCCTGATAATTACAGGACCAAAACTGACTCCATATACCGCAGGAAATCTGAGCACATTCCCACAGGAGGTCATATGGCATTTTTCAGGACTGAACGTTTGAGACTTAAAGTGACAATGGAAGTTCTGACACTTGAATACAACTCTCTCCCTCTCAAACTCTCTTCTAATTGGCCGTGAACACAGTGTGACACGCCGCATATGCCAAAGCAGCTCAACGGTCTTTAATCTTACAGATGTTTCTAGAAGTCCCTCAGCGGCTCCGTCAACTGCCCCGAGTTAAACATCAAGGCATATACACACACCCACCCTCACGCAGACTCGCAGCTAACTTTCTGACTGCAGTGGCTTCTAGCGTGGATTGTAAGAGGGAAAAACAAAGTAAAAAGCAAAGCGAGGGAAAACGAGTACAGGGAGGGTTGAACTGAGATCATTTCATCAGAAATGCAATGAAGAAACTGCAAGGTGTGGAAGAGAACATCATTAACAACTTGAAGCATATTTTTGAAAACACTGTCCATGTCCAGTAGAGGTCACTAAATACATTTATTTTTAAATAATTAAGATTTTTAAAAAATGTTTTTAAAGAAGACTCTTATGCTCACCAATGCTGCATTTATTTGCTCAAAAATACAGTAAATTATTACAAATAGTATATTATTACAATTTAAAATGTTTTCTATTTTAATATATTTTACATTTTAATTTATTCCTTTGATGCAAAGCTGAATTTTCAACAGTCTAGTCCAGTCTTTAAAGTCACATGCACCTTCGGAAATCATTCTAATATGCTGATTTGATGCTCAATTATTATTGGTGCTCAATTATGCTTATTATTATTAGAGCTGAAAACTATTTTTCTGCTCAATATTTTTGATTTCTTGAAGTCTTTATTTGAAACAGAAATCTTTTGTAACATTATAAATGTCTTTACTGTTACTTTTGATAAATGTAATGCATCCTTAATGAATAAAAGTATTGTTTGTTTGTTTTTAATCTTCCCTCAAACTTTCGAAAAAGGTAGTAAATCAGTTTCCACAAAAAAAATTGAGAAACAAAAACATACACCCACATTTAAAAAAAAAAAATCTCTTCTCTAGCATCTAGTTGTCAAATAAATATGTTTATATTACAACTCTCATTGGCTCCTTGACTAATTGCTTTTGTTCCTCTTTTTTAAGTTGCTTTAGATAAAAGCGTATTATTCTTGCCTTTCTGTTTGGTGCAGCACAAGCTCAACCTTTAAAAAAGTAGTATAGCAATGAAGTTCAGTGGTGTAATGTATAATTTCCTCAATCAGCTTATGTTCTTAAAAACTGAGTATCTGTTTTTCTGGGTTGTATGCCTCTTTAATACACAAAAACAGAAAAGAGATGAACTTTTTTTTCCTGTGACACCATTTACAATGTTTTTTTAAGGAAAGCATTTAAACCTGCTGTGGTTTAGCTAACCTTGGTAGCGACAGCCTTCAGCTTAGCCAGAAGAGAAGACTTGTTGGCATAAACCACTTCTTCATCCTCATTCTCCTCTCCTTCTCCTTCCATAATGGCACAGCTGTCCGCTGCCGGCAACTCGCACTCTTTATTGGCTGACATCACAAGTTTGGAATACTTAAACTCTAGCCTATAAGAGCAAAAAGATAAAGAAGTACGAAGCTTATTAGCATAAACAAAGAGAGATGGTTGTACATCTCCAAAACCTAAAATAGTCACAAGAATCATACTTTTTGTTCTTCTTCCAGAAGTAGCAGGTCAGGGAGACGAGCAGAATAGCAGAGATCACTGCAAGCCCAGCGCCCACCTTCAGCCAGAAATCAATCGCCTCGCATGGAGACGTTCTCTTCAGCGGGAGAGTCAGTCCTCCAGTACACAGCCGAGGTTCAGTCCATACAAACACTGTGTCCTTAGAATTAAAATCCACATCATTACGATGTTAACTGTGGCATTTTGAATCTCACCTGCTATTTATTTATTTGTTATTATTTAGCTACACTCTGTTCAAACGCTTGGGGGCAATAAAGTTAATACATTTTAAAATGTAATTTAGTGATACAAAGCTGAATTTTCAGCATCATTACTCCAGTCTTCAGTGTCATATGATCTTTCAGAAATCATTCTATTATGCTGAATTGCTGCTCAAGAAAAATGTATTATTATTATTATCAATGTTGAAAACAGTTGTGATGCCTAATATTTTTGTGAAAACTGATTCTGTGATGAATACATAGAACAGCATTTATTTAAAATGGAAATCTTTTGTAACATTGTAAATGTCTTGACCGTCACTTTTGATTTTGTTAAATAAAAGTATTAAATTTATAAAAAAAAAAAAATTTAAAACCTCACTGACACCATACTTTTGAACAGTAATGTACTTCGTTTTCCCTTTTCTATTTGCAACAAAAAAAGCAAGTCACTCAGGCATCATATCCAAGCTAGTCATCGTGTCTCACGACGCACCTGTCACAAACACGTGAACACCCACTGTGATTATTCATTTTTGTTTTGGTGGCTTAATGTGAGGAATAATCCACATATGTGTTGCCACATGGAGTTCTGAAGAAAACAAACTTACCCTAGATAAACTTCTGATGATAAATTCAGTAGAAGATGCACAAGTCACGACAGATGCTTTTCTTTAGTAGACTGATTTTATTACTTACATGAACGAGGATCAGACTATTATTCTTACTATCTGATTTAAACTAGGCTATGTATTACCTTGCAGTTCCTTACCAAAGCCAATTTTAATTGCACTTGATACTAAAACACAATTTGACGTGTGTTGCAGCCTGGAATTAAACCACACCATGCTGGTTTCATCTGGCCAGAGGAAAACTGGCCCCCCGACTGAGCCTGGTTCCTTTTTTTTCCCATTTCTATCACCGATGGAGTTTTGGTTCTGTGCCGCTGTCGACTTTATTAGTTGGGGACACAATTTCTGGCAACATTGTTGACTTGACTGCACAGACACTATTGGAAGAGAACTGAACTGAGCTGGACGATGACATCAATGAATCAACAATAAACTGACTTTAACTGAAAACCTGACTGTTTTCTATTATCCTCTTGCATTATCGGCACACGTTTTTCCTGTTGAACACTGTAAAGCTGCTTTGACACAATCTGTATTGTATAAAGCGCTATATAAATAAAGGTGACTTGACAAACATTACAACTCATTTCTCAGACAATACTATACAGTAACTCATCAGTAGAACTAATGAAAGAGTACCTGCACTCCTGCCTTACAGGCTCCTTCAATGGCGTGGTAGTCGACAGCAGCGCAGCGTGGACACGCACTAGAGCTCTCCCACAGGAAGTGAAACGTGCAGCCGTCACAGGTCCCTGCAGGACACTCACTGACACAGGACAGAGGAAGTCAATCTAAACTGGAATTGGGCTACTTTTACACTGCTGTCAAGGGTTGTTTTTTAGTCCGCGGGTTCTAGTAATCTCCCTGGAACACAATTTTGACAGAAGGGAGCCCAGACAGAGGAGAAAACCATGAAAGAAAAAGAAATGGGCTACTTTTGATTAGCAATATTACTCATTTTGTTTCAGACATGGCAACATCGAGGCCTAATGGTTAGAGAGTCGGACTCGTAACCCAAAGGTTGCGGGTTCGAGTCTCGTACCGGCAGGGATTGTAAGTGGGTGGAGTGAATGTACAGCGCTCTCTTCCACCTTCAATAATATGACTGAGGTTGAGCAAGGCACCGAACCCCCAACTGCTCCCCGGGCGCCGCAGCAAAAAATGGCTGCCCACTGCTCCGTGTGCGTGTTCACGGTGTGTGCGTGTTTACTGCTGTGTGTGTGCACTTTGGATGGGATAAATGCAGAGCACTAATTCTGAGTATGGGTCACCATACTTGGCCACATGTCACGTCACTTTCACTTTTTCACTTTCATAAATAATCCATAATATAAATATAACAAAATAAGTGACATACACTTTTGGTGATAAAATAAATGTTTCAAATTTTCAAAAAAGAAAACAAGACAAATAAATCAACTCAGTGGGCCTGCAGTTAGGTGATTTGGTATGGCATGATGGGAGATGCCCTGTGCCAAATTTAGACTGCATTAACAGCAGTGTGCTTGTTTGTGTGTGTTTACCTGGGTACAGATATGTCTCCCTTCGCTGTTTTCTCTGGGTTACAGCGCAGTGACACCACTGCATTCCTGCCTCTCTGACATGAGGTTGTGACCTGTGAAGATCTTTACAAATAAAAGACACCATTAAACAGGTAATGGATGATAGAGGGAAAATAACAAACTTCACACTTTATTACAAAACCCCTAAAACTCCAGACAACCATACATGAGAGGAACTTTAAGAGGCACTTTAGGTTTGATGACGTAACTGCCAGTACCGATAGAAGAAGTGGACATCTGGGATTCTCTTGGATGCAGATGGAAATAGTTCTGGTCTGGCGGTGATTCCGTTAAGTGATTTCTCCACTGTGGCTCCTGTGGCACAAACACACACACACAACCTGTCTTAGAGGACACATGGGGGTGACAGGCAGCACAGCAGGAAGTGCTTAGTAAGCAGGACCACCCGTAGATTCAAGTAATTAATCGTATTTATCACTAAACAAGAAGCCAATTTTTTTATATGCTAAGTTTTATACCTGAGAACACAGATGACAGGCACTGTGTAGAATTATTATTATAAAGAAACAGAAATCTACAGCACATTTTTATTGGCTGGAGTGTCTCTAATATGAAAGGCTATGAACAGTAAATATTCCAAATGTCAGGAGGTTATGATTTTTTTATGAAAACACGGGTTCAACATAACAATATCCAAGGTTTTTTTATGTAAATATTGCATTCCATCTAGGTCCCGATACATGTATTGATGCTATAATTCTGTAATTGTATATATTTTACTTATATAAAAAAAATTTTTTTAAATCATTATATAATCTTTTTTTATAATATAATAATAATAAAACAATATACAGACATAAACATAAAATGTATATAGAATATATAAAAGAATGATATAAATGTATCTATATTTCATTAAATATATATCAATTCTATAAAAAAAATATTACATATTATATTTTCTGGCAGGAATGTTGGGGTGTAACAGGATTACTTATGAGCAAAAGTGTGTGGAAAACACTGTTAATTTATTTCTTGTATACACACACAAAAAAAAAAAATCAACTCGTATTCAAATTCTACTTTAGATATTAAGAACAAAAAAGTAACACTGCATGATGTTTTATAGTTGCCACAGTCCCCAAGTGGTCTTCTCATTAACAATAGCAGCGCAGACAATGTTTTTGCTCATAGGTGATATTAATTCATACTTATTGAGCTTTGATGATTAAACTGCAAATGACTTTACTTCAGTAAAAAGCCCATCGGGGATTTAATTTATAATTATATAGACCGTTAAGGACGTTTTTCTCCATTGTTTACTGATAATGGAAAGTCTGTTAAACATTTAATTGATCTAATAACTTACAACATTAATTTTGGCAGCCTTATTAGCAAGTAATTCAAATTAATGAAACATGGACGTGCAAGTCACATACGCTACACTATCAAGAATTCAAAAATATATTTTTTTAGTTTGAAATTTAAAAATATGAAATGGTCGCACCCTGAAAAGTGTCGGCCAGGCTAATGGACTGAGAGGAAAGAGCTGTTCTTAAGCCCCGCCCATCGGATGGGATAATCGTTGATTGACAGAGAAAAGCCTCCACTGAACTGCCCTGCTGACCACCTTCAGCGTCCTCATTGGGCAGGTTTGTGACATTATCTCTGCAGACTGCAGCCTTGTGACCCTGACAAAAGACAGATGAATGAATAAATAACATTCTTGTGATGTCATTTCTGCTCATTTCAGGTGTTGATGTCATACCTCAGCTCCACACAGGCTGATATTGAAGAGGTGGTAGTACTTTGTGCCTTTCGCAGTGAAGCTGGGCCCGTTCATGATGGACCCAGCAGAGGTCAGAGCACTGAAGTCATACTGAAGAGTCCGAATCTGGTCAGTGTATGTGAACGAACAGTCGCTGAAACACACACTGTGCTCCTAGAATTTAAACATTCAAGAGAGAACAGTCATACACTTACTAGTTATTATTCCTGAAGCACTTTTAGTAATGCCCATGTTCTCAACCACTCAATTCATTTTATCAATTTGCATAATGACTTAAAATAAAAAGCATTTTTTTAATGTCACATAACGACCATTCATCATATTTTTCCAGTAGTTCCTGAATATTTGTACTGAATAGTGCTAGATATCATTAGTCAAACTTTTGAAAACATTACATATGTTTAAAATTGTGTGTATATATATATATATATATATATATATATATATATATATATATATATATATATATATATATATATATATATAATAAATGATTGGTTTAATACTCATATCTTTTCATGTCCCTGGAAGTGTGTGTGTGCCTGCACAAATAAGTCTGTGTATGCTTAAATCTGAATATGTGCTGATATTAAATAAATTAATTAATAAATAAACGGAAAGGACAAAAATACAGTGTTTGTTGCAAATACTTTGATGAGAACAAGACTTTGAAAACTTGGGAACAGTCATTTTAGATATAGCGGTCTGGTTGCAAGTAAAACTGTATCTGATATGCATGTTGTCCTTTGTGTATTTGGACTTTATTTCTATTTAGTGTTGGACAAATAAACAGAATACACAATCAATACCTTTTAAAACACACCAAATACAGAAAGCGAAAATCATGGGGTCTTTAAAACAATTTTTTTGCAGTACATAACTGACTTCTCCAAAGGAACTGACCTGCTGCAGGTGGACGCATTCTGTTCGTTGGGTGCGTTAGCATGGTTGGTTGCCAGGCTGCTGAATCCAGGAGGGATGTCGTCCCACTCATCGAAACGCAGGCCGCTGCCCAGTGAGTAAGTGCCAGCCGCACACAGAGTGCACTCCTGAGCAGACATCTCCAGAAACTCCCCCGCCTTGCACGAGAATGCTGACAGAAGGACGTAACCAAATATACAATACTGTTTATGCTATATTGACCAGTTCAATCACTAATCCGATGGATGGATGGATGGACGGAAGGACGGACGGACGGACGGACGGACGGACGGACGGATGGATGGATGAGAGGAATGGCCACCCTCCATCTGGACCCAGTGCTGTCACACTCTGTGTACTGAAAGTAATAGTCCGCCTGCGAAAACAAACAACACGTCTAAATTTAACAAGATACTTGTGTTTTGTGGGTGTGTGGATCTGTGAAGTTTGGCTGTAAAAGAGTAAAGCACATGGACGCTTGAGTATTGTGTGGATTTAATGCAGAGGACAGTAAAACAGGTCATACATAACATGACATAATAAATGCATGAGTCATCTCGTCCTGAGTCTGCTGAGGCCACACCCTTTCCTTTCCAGGCATCAGCATCAGTGGGGGTTCAATTGTGATCAGATCTTAAGTTTTTTAACAGATATTTCTTGTTCACAACCATGCACTGACGGATTTTTCATTCATTAAAGCCTTCAAAGATTGCCCCTTCACTCAACGAGTCTGTGTTAGACTCAACCAAATTAGAGGAACATCTCATTTATGAACAAACCGGGGTGTCATTTCATGAAGGAACTGAGACACATCTTGTTCCTGACCAAATTGAACAAACTGCAACTTTTCGTTTCTCAATGAATTGAATGAAGTGGCAACATATCTTTTTTTTTGTGAACGAACTGGGATGTGACCAAAGTAGGACTTCTTGGGAATCAACTAAACGAACTGGGACATATCTTGCTCCCAAACGAACAGCAACTTCTTGTTGCTGAACAAACTGCAAATTCATGTTCCTGAACGATGAACTAAATGAAAAATTAACTGTCAACGGACATTGTGTTATGTGAATGAAACGGCACATACAGCATGTCATTCACAAATGAAGAAAACAACTGGGACATATCTTTCTTGGGAATTAACTGAACAAACAGAACAAAATGTGACTTCTTCCTTAAACAGGGATATCTCATTCATGAATGAAATTAACTTGAAAAGAGCTTAAACACTCTTTCTAGAGACTCTTAGTAGATATGCAGGCACACAAATTTCAATAAAAATTAAAATGACTTGTTTTAGTCAACTCAGGGATTCAATGACTCACTCATATGCAAAGAGACAAATACTTGTTCCTACCTATTGGCATAACAACTTAACCTGCATTAATATATATATATATATAAGCGTACAAATTTGAGCAACTCTTTTAGTAAACAGATTCAAAAGAGTCACTGGGATGAATCAAATTGCCCACCACTAATCAGCATATTACAGCAAGAGCCTATAAGTAAAACACAGAATCACAGAAAGCAAGTTTGTGGGTGTCTCAGCTTAATAAACTATTGTAGAAATAAAAAAGCCAAAAAAAAAAAAAGCTTCAACTATGCATATGCACCAGTTAAGGTAGCAATCATGACAAAATAAGGTACATTAATAACCTAATTTACGGATTTTGCCGAGGTGTGACCATTTTTTTGGGCCAAAATGCAACAGAAAACCTCTGAATCATTTCTTTTTACATCCCATGCCTGCAGTTCCTCCAGCACTTATTGAGTGACTTGGAAGGAAAGGCAGCCATCAGGAGGAAGCTGATAATAAAACCCAGAATGCCCTGCGGGTCAACATACGGGAGGGCAGACTGAGAGACACAGCTCAAAACAGGAACTAGTCTCAGATATTACCATACAAACCCCAGTCCATTACCACAGATACAGTAATGTGCCACTGGTGGCTATAATGACACAATGCAAAACAACAAATACTTGTTCCTACCTATTGGCATAACAACTTAACCTGCATTAATATATATATATATATAAGCGTACAAATTTGAGCAACTCTTTTAGTAAACAGATTCAAAAGAGTCACTGGGATGAATCAAAATGCCCACCACTAATCAGCATATTACAGCAAGAGCCTATAAGTAAAACACAGAATCACAGAAAGCAAGTTTGTGGGTGTCTCAGCTTAATAAACTATTGTAGAAATAAAAAAGCCAAAAAAAAAAAAGCTTCAACTATGCATATGCACCAGTTAAGGTAGCAATCATGACAAAATAAGGTACATTAATAACCTAATTTACGGATTTTGCCGAGGTGTGACCATTTTTTTGGGCCAAAATGCAACAGAAAACCTCTGAATCATTTCTTTTTACATCCCATGCCTGCAGTTCCTCCAGCACTTATTGAGTGACTTGGAAGGAAAGGCAGCCATCAGGAGGAAGCTGATAATAAAACCCAGAATGCCCTGCGGGTCAACATACGGGAGGGCAGACTGAGAGACACAGCTCAAAACAGGAACTAGTCTCAGATATTACCATACAAACCCCAGTCCATTACCACAGATACAGTAATGTGCCACTGGTGGCTATAATGACACAATGCAAAACAACACACTAAAATCATGTAGTAAAATCAATGTATTTTGTACAGCCACTTTTTTTTTTGTTGAAAATTATGTTAAAATGTGAGCATCAAATATGATACATCAGGCTTTTGAGGAACCTTTATTTGTTCAACTTTCAATCATCTTTGTATTGCATTATGTGTTTTGCCCCCCATAATAAAACCTACAGAGCTTTGATCATAAAACTAAAGTATTTAAATATTATATTAAGACATTGACAGATATAGGGTGACAACTGATATTTATATCTATTTATGTAAATAGCCTGCTATACTGTTTTTAAGATCTCATTAATTGTATATTTATCAAATTGCATAGTTTTGCTTAATTTCAGCCTCTAAATAAAAATGTGGTGTTTTACTCTGAGTATGATCTCCATATTCTCCTATTTAATATTATATAAGCCATAAAAGCCTGATGTGTCAAACATGATTTTTTTTAAAGAAAACGTGATATATTTGATATGCCAGGCTTTACCGGATAATGTAAATAATTAATGCGGCTTGAGAGAACATGTACAATTACCATCTGATTTTTATGAATGCATAAGCCAAAATAGTTCCAAATCTGCACTATTGTTCCTTATTCATAGCCGTCAACTGCAGTCAATATTTTAGCTTACGGGACACGCAGGGATTTTAAGTCACAGTTTTTCCATGCACAAAGGCCAGAGGAGGTGCTGAGCTCTCAGTGAACGTGGTTTCAGTAAGGCTATTCTTAGCATCATATCACCAGGCTCTTGAGATGGGCATGCAGAGCTGACCATCTCTGTGAAAAGCTCCGCTGGAACCTTATTCATCCATTACCATAACATTAGACATAAAACACACAGCCTGGCTGGATTCTAACACATTATTTCAGTGATGACAAATGCATATTTAAAATGGGATGCCCATCCCAAAAAGCAATCTGACACCAATCAATATACATACTGAGACAAAAAGCATATCAGCTTCTTAATCAATATGCATCTGAAAAGCTCAAGATACATTAGTATTAAAAAAAAGCCAAACATCTGATACAGGAAACAAATAAACTATAATACTCCAAGAACTAAAAGTGCCTAAAAACCTGATTTCAAAGAATCTAAATATATATTCAGAGCCTCAAATGTCCTTTCCCTCATGACAGGGTTACTGAAGGAACCACTGACAGATTTTTCAGTTCTTGTAAGAACTTATGACTTACATTAAGCACTTCTAAGCTTCCAGAGACACGATTTAAGGCTCCTCGGGAAGCCTTTTTGCAGAACTATCGTTTGTAAACGGATGTTTCCATGTTCTTCAGAGGGATCTGTCAGTGTGACAGTCTGATTCCTTTTATTGTTGCATGTTAAAGCCACAAATAAAGCATCTATTCTAAATGTTTCTATAAACCAGCTTTTACTGTATTCAGACAGCCTACTTCTCATTGGTTACAGCTATTCAATCTGTGTAGAGTATCTGATGCACCTGTTACTTTGGTTATTGTAAGCTGTGACAACCTACATCATCTTGCTGCACGTGTTAGTAAAGAAATTGATCCCAAAAGTGCAAATAAATGTATGACAAACAACCACAGATGCTTTAAATACAAGCCGGCGTGTGCAAAAAAAAAGCAGATATATGAACTGGACGAGTGTTTAACGCAGAAACACCAGCGGGAATGATCTCTCACCTCTTTACACTGGCGCAGGTGAGCGGCACATGCCGCGGACGCGTTCACGATGAAAACGCAACATATCCACGCCGTATAATTGAGCATAAAACGGCTTCGCTGGCGGACAATGGTTGTCCTCGTGCGCTCCATCGCTTGCCGAAGGGAATAACGGGACCGTCCCATCATATCAGCGAGCGACGTCACCATAGAACGTCATCTGACGGAGCCGCTTTGAAGTCTTAGAAATGACGTCACAGCGGTGTTACCCAAATCAGGCCCAAAACGAATAGCCTTAATTATAGTAGCCTACATATCTACTCAACAGCTTTCATTTTTTATACTTTGAGTGTGACCATCAAATTATTTGTATAATGAACCACTAAACATAATGTATTAGAATACGGACAATGACCATTCAGAACACTGCTTTTATATTCACTAATAAAACAATCCGAAGTGTTATTTGTAATTGTTATTCAGATGCACACCCCAAGATGGCAGTCCTTTCAAAGAAATTACAACGTGGAACGTATTTAAACATAACTATTCTTAAACGTTCAAATAATTATTAACTTAGAATCTTGATACTGAAAAAAAAAGACCATGTTATTTGTCAACTTTCCAGTAATAGTGCATTTTATGTATGTCTGAAACAGATTACTGCATGTTAAATTTGATGTTAATTGTTTTCCATGAAGAGAGAATCCAGACTCGCTACAATAGTCATCATGGTCTCCAACCCATAAAATATTTCACTTCCATAGTACATGTATATTATTTTATTTATTGCCAGTGTTCAGAGCTTTGGCACCAGTATTGTTCACAGAACAAAAATCACAACATTTAATACAACTAACTGAAATACTGCTGCATTTA